CCTTCTGTAAGGCCCAGTTTAACTGGAACCCATCAGCAACACTTTCCCTGGTTCTCCAGTTAGAAATGGGCACTGCCTAATCTGTGACCCCAAAGAACTTCACACACACATACTTTTTAAAATAATACTTATCACATTGTATTTTAACTACTTGTTTATATATTCCCTTCCCAAAGATTGAGTGGCTCCTAAGAGAGTAAGGGTAGCACAAGAGAAATGGGAGGTAGACATCAAAACAGAGGTGGTTTAACCAGAGGCATATTCAGTTATATATTTGGTAAATGACAGAAAGTACATATTGTCTTCATTTTCTAACACCAAGTTCAGAAAGTTCAGCTTATCAAAATTTTGGATGAACGTGGCATCTGAAAGGTTTTCAAATGGGGAGTTGGGGGCTAGATCTCTGTGTCTATCTTAAGGAGAACTGAGGTAAATAAAAGCCAGACATCAAGGGTTACATATTGCTCATTCCAGGTATATGCTAGGTACTCAGCTACTTCTTAATTCAATAAAAAATTTAAAAGTTAAACTAAAAATATTTTAGATAATGTCTTGATGAAAAAGTTATTTCTTCCCCAAATGTATAATAGGTTCTGAACAGTTTTATTTGGGTATAAGGATAGTTACTCAAGCTTTCTCAAGATCTTAAATAAGACCCCTAAAGGATAAAGCAGAAAATTGTAGAATATGAATATCTATAAAGTTCCTTTATAAAGACCAAAAAAATTTAATTATGTATGACATATCTCCCATAACCCCCAAACAACGAATTTATGGCTTTGAACTCTTGTGCTCCTCTACTGTTGATCCAAAACCATAAATTGGCCAGAAATAGCACATTTCATTACAATTTTGGCTTTGATGGAGTATGTGCCATTTGGGCAAATCGAAAACCATGAAAAAATTTAAATTCTAGGTCATTTTGTTTTATAATACTGAAAGACTTCAGAGGTAAATGTGTAACCGCATCAGACTCAGTGCAATCTGTGTATGCTAAAATACGCCCACATTCCTGGGTTTATAATGAAGAATGACTAACTAACCTACAACTATTGTTCTAGCTGGTGTTTATAATTTAGTATAAACTATCATCCAGCAGCGAGTTAAAGGATATGGCAAATCTCAAGGAGAAGTAAAATCTCTTAATGGCAGGAACTAGTCGACCGTGAGAGGAAATGATGCATTTGACTTTATAGTGGTATTTGTGCTAATGAGACATGTTTATAGTCTAGTATGACTACATTTGTGTCAAGGTTAGCTGGTGACAAGAGTTCAAGCCAACTTTAAAAATCTTTTTTGAAAATAAACATGGGTTTGTTTCCCAGGGATTCATTACTAAGTGCCTACTATGTGCCAGATAGTCTTCCATAAATTTTAGAGGTAATTTTGGGGGGGGGGACACAAAAATTCCCAGCCTTCAATGGAGCTTATATCCTAGTTGGGGAGGAACAGGAAATAAAAATGAACCTAATAAGTAATATTATATAAAGGATGTCTAAGAACTTTTCATTGTGAAATTAAGTTTAAATTTGGAATACAGATAGCCTAGCCCTTTAGAGATGAAATGGCTGTCACTCAACCCCACTGTCAGATTCAAAGGTGTATCTCTTACAACCAGTATGAAATGAGTTTGGTATTAATAATATGAACCATGCTTCTGCCAATAACTGTATTTCATATTTCTTCTGAACTACTTGCCCTGTCATTCAAAGCCTTTGGTGCTCTGTCCCTCTATTCTTGATGCATCTCCCTTTCTCTGAACACCATGCATACAACATCTTGGTGCTAGAGATATATAGTTAATTAAGACATAGTCTTTACCCCCAAAGAGTTGACTTTCCAATAGGAGAAAGACAAAGGAATATCAAGGTTTATGAGTGTGTAACTGAAGTATGCAAAGCATGCTGGGTGAGCCCAGAGAAGGGAATGATTACTTTTGCCTGGGGAAGGCTACTCTGAGGAGGTACCTTATGCTGAGTCTGGGAGGACGGGTAGAAGGCAGAGACAGTATAGCAGATCATATGGGCCAGGAAGAATATAAGCTTGGGGAGATCGGGCAAAAAGAAAGCTAAGCTAAATCCTGAAACAGCAGAGGCTATGCCTGCCCAGATACCATTACTTGGAGCTACATCCCTCATGAGGAAAAAATGGAAAGCAAAGGAGAGGCAGCTTATGAGTAGACTAGAGCTATAGCCCTGGTCACACTGCGAAGGGTGACTGGACCTCAAAGCACAGGCTAACTAAAGGGAAAGCATCTAAAGAAAGCAAGGAGATTAAGCGGCAAAGGAGAACACTGCTAACAATCTATAGAACCCAGACACAGGTTGTGCTCTCATTCTCTTGGCAGACCTCTCCACTCCCCACTGGACATGCTGCCAGCCAGTCGTCCAGGTTTGACAGTAGACCCTTCCATTTGTATCCTAGTCCCAACCTAGCAATCTTCCCAAACCAAACACATGGGAAGTCCCACTGTGTGTGCCCTTTATACGTGTACAAGCTGGATAAGATAAAGAGAGCTTCCCCCCACCATGTTAAATTCCCATAAAATGCATGTTCCAGAATTCATATAGGACTCTTTATTTTTAACCACAGTCACTATCCTCTGGTACTAGAAAATCAATAGCAAGAAGACACTATGCTTTGGGATCATTCTATGCATTATATATAGCATACTATAGTGTGATCATCCATCTCCCCAGCTAGTGTGGGAACCCCTCAAGGGCAGGGACTAGCTAATAGTAGGCATTCGATTAAGGGCTGACAAACAAATGAATAAATTAACCCACTGAATTTTTCTCCATAGGTCCAAGCTAGTATAACAGATAGAAAAAACACCAATTGCTGCTATTTTTCATTCTAAATGATGACAGTATAAAGGCTATTCAACTGGCTTCTCACAAACATAAAACCCATAATCCTATCTACATAGGCACACAAAGTCATACACCAGAATTAGAAGAGAGCAGTTTTAAATTTAAGTTTTTAAATAAAGTTTTCTACTCTCAGAAATTTGCTATCTGAGTATGATATTGCCAGTTAAGAGTTCACACACACACCCCAGCTTGGAAAGAAAGAAACGTTGTAACCCAAAAATATCATGGGGAGAAAACACTTTTGCGAAATTTCAAGAACTCAGTTCAAGCCCCACCACCTCCAAATGAATACACACAGGTTTGAACCGCATGGGCCCACTTATATGAGAACTTTTTTCAATAAAAGTTATACCAGTGTGCCTGCCTCTCCTGCCGCCCCTTCCACCTCCTCCTCCCCGCCACCCCTGAGATAGCAAGACCAGCCCCTCGTCTTCCTCCTCCTTCCTCCACCTACTCAATGTGAAGAGACCAGGATGAAGACTTTTATAATGAATAGCAGTAAACACATTTTCTCTTTCTTATGATTTTCTTAATAACATTCTTTTCTCTAACTTATTTTATTGTAAGAATATACATATAATATACAAAATATGTGTTAATCAACTGTTTATGTTCTTTAGAAGGCAGTAGGTCAACAGTACGCTATTTATTAGTAGATAAGTTTTGGGGGAATCGAAAGTTATATATGGATTTTCAACTGGGAGAGGGCACCCTAGCCTCCATATCATTCAAAGGGCAACTGTATAAACATGCAGTGTCCTTAACAGAACTGAAATATAATAGGCAAAAATGGAAGAGAAATTTTTCTTTAAAAAGAAAAAAAAAAAAAAAGGCCACACTGTTAAATTAAAAAGTAAATAGTCTTTTACATCAAAGTCTATCACTCTGGACAGGTAATCCTTGGGCAAGTTTCAGCGTGGGCTCTTGAGGCATGCTTGAGAACATGTAATCTCCCAAAGCACCAGGTTGTGCCCCATTCCAAAGGTCTCTCCCAGCGGTTGTCTGCTAATGCCAGATTATAAATGCTATGCTCGGTGCAAAAGAGAGCTGACTGCACTAAAAACGATAAGATTTGTGTAGAGAAATGCAAACTTGTCGAAGTCCAGATTGAGAGTTAGTGAGCAAAGAAACTTGAAAGTGAGCCCCTCCTCCCCTGTAAGTATGAGGTTTGGGGTACGGAGGGAGGGAGGGTCTTCTCTTGGTGAGAAGAAGAAGTACAGGGACTAGTACAGCAGAGAGCTACCCTTTCTGGAATCCATAGAGAGTCTGGCCTTTTATCCCCAGGCCCAAGCCCTAGGCTGGGGGCCCGGGTTTTGTCATGGGCACCTCCCTGCTGCCCTGCCCCTGCTGCTCCACATGAGCAGAGAGAGACAGGAGGCAGGCCCCTCTGACACCTACTTAACCAAGGCAGATGGAGAGGAGAGCGCGTGGGATGCCTTTACTTCCCCCTCAGGAGGCGCCCAGCAGGAGCCCACAGAGCCAGTGGCTCCAAAATCGGATTTCCAAACATCCTCCCACCCCAGAACAGGCCTTACCCCTGTGGCAGGAGGAAACAGAGCATTAAGCAAGTGTGGTTCTGGCGTACAAAGGGGATTTTAGAAGACCTGAAGAAGCCTTCTTACAGGATTCTGCACTTTTTTCAAACCTCTACAGAAGTGGCCAAGTTAAGAAACAGTTATTCATTCACTGACCCAAAGGGGGCAAGGGTGTTACTTTAAGGAGGACACAGTCTGTGTCTGCACGATGTCCTGCGCTACAGACACATACTTTATTAATAATCTTACATACACAAAATGTCCAAGAGAAAGCCTAACAGGCTAATTTCTGACAGCTCCAGATAACAGCAGGAGGAACTGAAGTCACGCTGACTCTCCGGCTTCCACATACTACTCACAAGCAGTGGTCCCTTTCCCACCCAAGGGATGTGATACAAATAAATAAATACAATTATCTGCAGGACTTAAAGTACGAGATCAACACTGTGAAGTCCTTCTCCCCAAGTGCAGTGACTTGTGGGAGACAGATAGGAAAATAAAAAAGAACAGCTGGAAAATTTAATTACAGAACAACGCAAAAGCTGACACGGTTTCACGGGATGAGCCAACAGCCCAAGCCACTCTCCCTTACCTTAAGATACAGAAGCAGCTCTTCGCTCCTGAAGATAAGCGGCAGAACCCGAATCTCTGCTTGCTGTCAATGTCAGTGAGCACGAACGTGAAGTTCTGGCCAACTTGGCTAACTGTGAGGCTGCAGCAAAGACAGAACAAAGAGGAAAATGAATGTGCAGTAAGTTTCTTGATAAAGTATCTAATCGCAACAAGTCGTTGAACCGGTAACATTTCCTCTCTCAGTGGAACTCTTTATAAATGAACTTAAAATTTACACACTTCAAGGAAACAGACTGGGAGTTGGTTAAAAAAAAAAAGAAGAAGAAGAAGAAAGAAAGAAAGAAAGAAAATATAGCCTGCAGCCCATTGTGTGACCACCTCAGAAATCACAACCTTCAGAGCTATCACTTTCCCCTTACTGAGTTCAGGCCCTGAGGTAGGTCTGTTAATCAGCCCATCAATCCTGAAAGGTGCATCCTATTAACCTCATTTTATAGATGAAGAAATAGTCCAGAGACGCACTGCCTAAGGTCCCAGCTAGTAAGTGGTAAGAAGCTGGATTTTAAGCCTAGCTCTGACTCCAAAGGCCACTCCACCAGCTTGCTGTCAACAGCACCTACCTGGTATCTCCTCTAGCTCTAAACACAATAATTACAACCGAATTTAGGTGTCTACTATGTGGCCAGTCAAAAGTTGGACACTTGATATATATCATCTCATTCATTCTCACAACCACCATGGAATTTAGATGATGTTCCAGTCTACACAAAAGGCAACTAAAGAACAAAATAGGTGGCAACTGAATCAAGTTCACAGAGCTACTAAGGGATGATGCTAAAATTGAAACTGGAAAGAAGAGAGGACAATGGTAGGTGTTACTTTCCTAAATTTCTGTATCTTTCACAATTTCTGAACTTATTGAGGAACATATTTCATATTTTAGAGGATAGAAAATACCAAAATGTCTAGCATTGCAAGGTGCTTTCTAAGAAATGGAAACAATGTTTTTAAAAAAGATAATTTTAAAAAGCTAAAAATTCCTGCATCAATACAAAAATACATAAACCACACATAAATGTAATATATAACTTAAAAATATCCATTTTTAAATTAAAAAGCATATTACTAATCAGAGTAATCCAGAAACTTTTTTAAGTGTTACAAAATGTTTTAAAAACCTCTTTTTATCAGTTAGCTTGGATTCTATTCTTTTAAAAAATGTAACCATTCCAACTTCTATTACATAATGTAAATTTACAGTAACAAAATATTTTAGAATTTGACATTGAATTAAAGGGACTCATACTGTATTTTTACAAAGTATACTCAAATTGACAAAATACTCAAATCTATGTTATCATCTATCAATACTTTATAAATTGTCAGTATAAATGAAAAATCATAGTTTACCAGGCCTTTTCCAAAGGCAGAATTCTCATTGAGTCTTTGGATATGGTACAAATTAGGTTTTCACATATAAGGTTAGACTTTCTTTCCAAAACTCTGTTATACAAGCCACATAGAAAATTAAAAGGACTTTCAAGGTATTCCAATATAAAAGTCAATGGACCCTGCCTGGTCATATTTAAGCAAACAACTCCATCCCTTGGAGAAAGGTTAGAGAGTACAAGAAAATAATTCAGAGAGAAAAGAAAGTGTTCCACTCTCCTTTTTTAACTAGGAAGGTGAACAAAAACAAGGTGGCAATTTAAAAGCAATGTGGTAGTAAAGCAGGTGTAAGTAATGCTATCCCTCCACCTTATTCAGCCAGGAGAAGGAACACATTTCTATAAAAGTTATAGAGCTGTCAAGGGGACACCAAACGCTACCTTCTTATGGCTATTATGTTTTATCTATAAAGCTTGGATACTGTGTTACTATGGTGATTTAATACTATGTTTTAAAGGGGGATTATATGATTAATTTTAACAAGGTTGAGAACTGAAGATGTGTGAGAAACAGGATTCTAGCTCACATAATTAAAGTGACTGGGGAGAAAAGTGGGGCCTCAATGGGGGAAGGGAAACCCTGTTTTATTAAAATATTTAAAGCAACAGGTCTAGATGATTCTAAGTTACAAATAAGGTCATGCTTTTGTGAAATATTACTACGTGATCACACAAAATATGATTGTTCATTATTTTAATTCAGGGTTTTTCACTTGTAGAATGCTTAAAATGAATATTCTCTAAGTAGCATCCTACAAGGGAAGGGTATTGATAGGACTGTATGAAAAGAAAACATCGAGAATCACTAGGAAAATGACACAGAATGAACACGACTTGACTTGTGAATTGGGTGTCATTAATTTCCTACTATTTTTTTCACTCCCATTAAAAATGCTGAAAATGTGTTCAGCTATGCTGTAGGCTCGAAGAATGAATCATTACTCATTTACTTGGTTCAAATCCCAACTCAATCACTTGCTAAATGGGCCTTAATTTAGCAAGTTACTTAAAACCTCTAAGCACCTCAGTTTCTTCACCTGGAATAACAATGAAAAACTACCACCCCACCCAAAGGATGTTTTGAGAATAAGTGGAATAAGTATTTAGTATAAAGGCCAGTCCATAGTAGGAACAATTAATAAAAGGGATGCAAGCTGTTACCAACTGTGAAAAAAAAACTAAAGTTCCCATTAAAATCATGTATTTGCTTAGAATCTCCCTGATTCACTTAGCTTTATAATACCTGTGAATAGAAGAAGTCAGTCCACCTTCTTTCTCTCTTGTCCCTTGCATTTTTTAAGGAGTAGTCCTTTGGGTAACCAAGTGACTGACGTTTGCATTAAAGTGAAAAAGATTCCTTTTTGGGTGCCACAGCTTAAAAGGAGGCACTTATTCGTAATTAATTCACCTTTTTAATTCTTGGAAGGGTGAAGTACAAGTCATCAAAAGCCCCAAACCAGTAGACTCTAAAATATTTTTTCCTTGGACAATTTCCAATAAACTAAAAGCCCGGCAGGGGCTGTCAAACAGAGGTTAATATGAAGGGTTCTGAATCTCCAAGGAATTCATCATTCTCTTTCTCTACTTGCTATAGTGGCCTATGGGAGGGTTCACTCTTTCTCCATAAAAATGACTTGAGGGAAAGGATCTGCTTCCTTAAAGGTTGCAGTTTTTGTGTTTATCTCCAGTATCAGCATCCTAATTTCCACGGGAATCAGAGATTTCACGATGATGAAAGCTAGAAGAATCCTTAGAAACCATCTTGCCTAATTATCTTGTTTTACAAATAGGAAAACAGGCTTAGGGTTTAGTTTTATTTTGTTTTTCCAAAGTATTCAGGGCTAGGCCAAAAATCCAAGCCAACTTCTGGTTCAGAGTCCTTCCTTTTCTGTCACTCTGCACTAGAAACGATGAAAACCTTCCCTGAGAAGCTTTTAACTCAGTTTAAGGACTAAGGTATGTGAGAAATTCAGATAGTTGTCTCAGCAAACAAACTGTACTTTCCACTAAGCTACAGAAACCAAACTTGAGTATCTCCAGAAACAAAACCAGCAGACCAGGGCCAAGACGAGTCTGAGTTGTGCTTTGGTGCCTAGGTTAATATGGAAAACAAGGAAGAAAAGCAGTAAGTATTTGAGCCACAGATTTTAATCTTCGCGCTGCCTTTCAAATGCCTGCCATTCAAGCAAGGGTTCTTCAGAAGCATTTTGCTTAATCTTGAAGTTATTTACAGGCCCAGTGTACAAATGGTATGAAGCATGTGGATGGACAGTTTGATTCCAGTCTTCCAGTGAGAAATGAGATTTTACATATGAGCCTCACTTTTAGTTTAGTTATCCATTTTGCAAATTGAGCTACAACTACACTACGTACTATAACAAGTGCTGGGGTATATAACATGGAACAATATAGACTCAGTCCCTGCCCTTGTAGAGCTTACTGCCTAGTTGAATAGGAATAATAAACAAGTATACCACAAAACATGCAGCTTGTGATAGTGTTATTACAAAACCAAAGAAGAAACAAAGGTAGAAGAAAATGGAAGAGAAAGAAAGGCCTGAGATAATGTGGTCAGAAGAAGCTTCTCAAGGATTACAACAATATTGACCTAAAGGATGAGATGCAGCAGCCACTCAAGAACAGGAGACTGGGTGTTTCAGGCAGAGAAAAGAGCTGTGTAAAGTTTATAGTGGCTGGAAAAAGTTAGGCCTGGACCAAGGAACTAAAAGGACACCAGTACTGTTAAAGCACGGGAGATAAAGGGGAAAGAGGCATTACACGAAGTTGCTAGATAAAGCAAGCACCAGATCATGCAGAGACCCATAGGTCATGGTAAAGAATTAGGAATTGTTTTTTTTTTTTTTTTTTTCTGGTAAGGGCAATGGAAAGTCATTGAATGGATTCAATCAAGAGAAAAACCGCCTGGTTTATAGTTTCAAAAGTTTGATCTGACATATGGTGAATGGTTTTGAAGAAGGCAGAAGTAAGAGCAGAGAAAATAATCAGGAGGCTATTGCAGTAGTCCAGGTGAGACTGGATTGTGGCTCCACTCATATAAGGAAAGCAGAGATGGAGAGGGGTGGCTAGTTCAGGTTATAGCTAGCCGGTATAAATGACAGGCTTGCAGATGGCCTGAGAATTGGGGAGCAAAAAGGCAGAATATGACCATTTGATGATAGGAAAGACTAACAAGTGAGGGGCTCCATTTGGGATACGTTAAGTCTGAGAAGACTGTAAAACATCTATGTAGAAATGACAAGTACGGAGCTGAACGTACTAGTTAGGAAAGCAGAGGAAACGTTTGGATTGAAGCTATAAATTTTGAAGTCATCTATATACAGATGGTATTTAACGCCATGGTAAAGACTGAGATCGTTTAGTGAGGGAGTTCAGAGAAACAAAAGAGAATCCAGGACTAATTTATAGAACTACCAATTTAGAGGATGGGTAGAGAAGAGACCAAAGGAAAAAAAAAAAGAAAATAATCAGGCAGAACAAACAGAAGGGAGTGGTCAACTGTATTGATGCATCAAGATGAGAAGAGAAAAAAATGGCTATTGAATTGACCAATACAGAGGTTTTAGATGATCTTGATAAAAACAGCTCTAGTTTAATGAAGGAAGCAGAAGACATACTAAGGAGGGCTGAGGAATAAATTGAAGTGTGTAGATAACTCTTTCAAAAAAGAGAG